GAACAATTGTCTCCACTGATGCACAACAATGCTGAGCTGACAGAGGCAAGACACAGGCAGATTTTCGTCTGAACAGTAACTCCTTTCTCATTTTAAACACTGCGCAGGTCTCCAAAAGCACTGAAGGTAAGACGATTCTCCTATTTAATTCTGTCTGAATTATGCCATTGCTGGAGATGATGGAATCGAAGTAGTGAAACTAAGCAACCTCCTCCTGAAGGGCTTCACCTCTCTGTTCCACTTATGCATCATCTGTGCCCGAGGGGTTCCTTATTCATCTTGTGACTTCCTGGCGTTATGAAAGACGCCGACTGTCGTAGCTGTATTGCACATAGAAACCGTCAGGTAGCAGAGTCCATTTGAGCTCAGTACCGTTTTAAAGAAGATAGTCGAGAACAACATTGAATGGAAAATGACGGAAGCGCATCTCCTTGACGAACTGTACAGTTAAAGGGGAATCACTTAGATAGCTCCATTTCGAGTTTGATAACTCATACTGCATAATCTCTTCCACAATAGAAACGATGTGCTCAGGTATCCCGTGGCACAAGATTTAACACCTCGTCGGACGATGTAGTGAATCAAATTCCGCTGTAAAGTCAAAATAACGGGCAAAGAAGTTGGCTGAAGTCGTCGGTATTGTTCTGTTATCATACACACAGTGGAAATTTGGTTGGCATAGAGGTAGCCCATCCAGAAGCTTGTTTAATTTGGACGAAGTCTCTCATCAATTGCCTATCTCAGCCTTTCCACGATAATCGAAAACAGGGATTTTCCGGGAGTTGACAGTAATGATAGCACGATAACTAAAACTCGGTTACCTCGGTTATCCGATTCTCTTTAAATATATAAACGATTGCGTCGCACTTCCATTTTCCTGAGAAACGTTTGTGGGACGACATTTAATGAAACAGGGCATAGAGGTTTTCTGCAACTTCCGTTCCTATTAATTCCGAAGGAATTCGATTCATCCCGAAGGCCTTTCTTACCTTGAGGAGTAGCAAGGCTTTTCGGATTTCTAATTTCATAGATGGATCTATACTAACCTCAGTATTGACAGGGAATTGACATTCGGAAATAATGAATCTGGACGACAGCCATTGAGAATCTGTTTGAGATGCCTATCCTAGCTTCCTTCTGGCTTGCCTACGGTACATCGTTAGCATTTTAAATGAGGACGGATGGCCTGCAGGACAACTGTCGCACCCGATTGAACACCTTTTGCCGCTCATCGGTTCTGGCTGACTTGTCGATCTTCCTGATTTTTCCTTCCAATCAAATTTCGGTCTCAACTTCAGTTCTGGTTCACTGCATGATCGAAGCAACGATGAGTTCTTCGAGGTGGCTGCAAGACTTCTTATTTGTTTGATTTCTTTGCACTCTAAGGACTAGCCATAACCCAGGGCAGAGTGGTTATTTTGTTCCTGACCTTAACTATGCCTTTTATCGAGGAACTGATCGCTTCTTTGAAGTCCATATAAGCTTCAGCGAGGTTACTACTTCCTAACTGGGGACTGAGAGTAGCATTCAGATGATTCTCTACCTCCTTTTGGTAGGTCGACCGCGCCGTTCCTTCATATTGTAGCCTGTTATCACAGAGCAGCTAACGTGTTTCAACTAATGGCCTTGATGCACTGTTCATTTTAGACGAAATTTCGCTACAACCATAGGTGTCAGGCCCAATTCAGATGCCATACCTAAGCTAATCTCGAGTAACGAGCTGCGGCGTTTGAGGTTGCTAAGAACATGGCCCAGCTGGGTTTCTAGTCTTCCATCAGGTGGCGTTTAGGTGGTTTGGTGAATACGGCTGATAGAAAAGGTTACCGTCATTATTATGCACTCTATTAAATTCCACAGCAAGTTAAACAGTAATTCGTTAACTAAATAATTATCATTGAATTGAACAATATTTAACGAAAATAAAAAGTAGCAAAAATTAATAGAAAAATTTTATGCATATAAGTTCGTCCGTGCCCGTGTTTTAGAAGTAAGAAACAATGATGAAAGAATGTATTTTCTTCGTGCATAAATATGGTTGATATTGTCCTTAGCTGGTTTCTGAGTTTGATGGAAAGTACGGGCTAACAGAAATGTATATTTTTTCGCATTGCGGTGTCACTGAAAATCCCTTGAATTTTCGTTTTCTCTTCACGGCTCTACTTTCATTGATAGCTTAAATAGAAACTACTAATTTATTAGATTAACGATTCATACTTTACAGTTTACTGGCCTTCGCTTAGCAAGGCGACTAGAGCAACAAGAATACATATTCGTTAGTTTTAATTTCATTTTCGACAACTTCAGTATGCTGACGTGGACCACTACCATTACGTGCATGTGCGGCAGAAATTAAGAGATACAAGATCTCCGTAGTATCGTATGGTTTGCGATCAGTAGGGTCAATACAATGAAGCATTACACTAAATATGTACGAATCTATGCAGGTTAGTTATCTAGTCGGTTAAGTATCAAATCACCAAAAAAAAAATACCGAGGATTCATGAACGATTTCTGCTTTATATTAAACAGGTCTGAAGTTATTTTTCATTGCCATGGTTTTCAGCATGTCCTCTATGTAATAGATGGCATAGACGTTCATGCGAATCCTAGCAGCAACGGTCTCATAGGCTGAAATTCGCGTCATCTTAACTTCCAGATCAAAAAAGACCTGCTATCAAATATTCGAACGGAAAACTTTTTTTGGCATCTGACTTTATTTCTTGACTCAGTATTGATTTCCTATCACTCTGAAAGAACTTGATCAATAAAGAAATTTAAAGAGCTTTGATTATTACAAGTTATGATGAGCATTTTTAAAAATGAATACTTCAGCCAGGCTGGTCAACGCGTTCTATTGCTGCTTCCAATGCGTAAACTCGATTTAAATTTCTACGTTCTTTTATTACCGATTGCTGCTTTAAGTGTGACGTCCTTTTTGTTTATGGTCTGATCACACCCTCACCATGGAAGAAGGAAGATGCAAAAGGCGTTTCGAGTCTTCAGTCAGATAACTGTAAGCAAAATTCATGTGAATCAGACAAAACCGATCTCAGCACGAAACGAATTTCAGAATAGCTATTACTCAAACTGTGACCTGCAGTTAGTATTTGCAGTCTGAAGAATAGACAATTGCTTTACGCGTTACACGTCGTTTTCCGTTAGGTGCTGCTTTTACTCATTAGCAAATGCTTATGCATTAACTGAAAACTGTGCATGTGCAAATGCGATTCAATATTTATCG